GCATTTGTGTAGCGCATATCCCCGCTCAGCAGCAGGCTCTATGCGCTTTACACTATATTATTACCCCAGCAGACCATAGAACAGTCCGAAACATTCTCAGCTTCCCGGGAAGTATGCTGAACCAACTTATGTAAAATTAACTGCCGAGACATAGGTTACAACGAAGTGACTATTCCCAGGGACACTGGGGATAGGCACAGAATCTATTTTCAGTGACAACGGAACTCTTTTGCATAAATAATCAGAAGTCTTTGTTTTTGAATTTTCTCTTCGAAAAAAAAGTGCGCTGCAGATGGAAATGAGCGCGTAGTTCTACTCCTTCAAAGTTTGAAGAGAAATTTGCAGCTTTTCAAAAGGAGACCAATGCTGTTTTTGTTAAAAAATGGTGACTGCATCGTAGTTTTGTTGGTGATTTAGATCCAGATTCTTTTCTTTACATAGATTCTTTTCTAACGTGTACTGTCGGCTCTCTTCTCACTTCAGTGATTTTGTTCTCTTCTTTTACTTGGGCCTGTACTTGACCGTAGCCTAGATCTAGAGATCTAGATCTAGAAGAAAGAAGAATCGGGAAGGATTCCACCTGTCCTGTACCGTGGTCTCCAAAATCCATATTATTATGTAGATCAAGATCTACATATACCTCTAAATTACGATTGAATAACAAGTAAGCATAGAATGGTCATTCCTATCTTTTAAAAAATATTCCACTCACACCAGCATCTACTTTAGTTAAGTTGTATCTAGAAACTAGATCTCAATCTACATTAGATATAGTCTGGTATTTAGTAACCCATCATCATCAGTGTCACTGGGAATAGTTTTTTGACTTACTCCAAGTGACCTTGGGAAAAATTCTGGCCTATACCCACTGGGAGTAGTGCTTTCCATGTTAAAATGTGTGGATGTATGAGTCAAAGGCCTTTCATATCAATAAAATCCTTTTGAAATATCTCCCCCCCCCCTCTCTCTCTCTCTCTCTTCAATCCTCCAATCTAAGCACTCCTCACCTTCCACCTCCACACCCACACACAAAAGCCTCGATCAAATATATGCTACGACACACCCCCCCTCTCCCTCTCTCTCTCTCTCTCTCTCTCTCTCTCTCTCTCTCTCTCTCTCTCTCTCACTAACACTAACACACGCACACTCTGTAACAAAACACATTGTGACAAGTAGATCTATGCATCTGTGAATAAGTAAATTAGGCAACAGGTTTTTATGGTGAAAATTAGGATATTTGGGGACACTCCTTACTTTATTGGGTAGTTTGCTCTAAAAAACCCGAGAAATCGAGGCGTGTGTTTCTACTGTTGCCAGGATATTCAAGGGCAACATCAGTAACGCTCAGAGCATGCCAGTGGCTCGATTTGTTTTAGGCTGAGTTAACCTACCATATTTTTAGGGTGACAATAATTAAACGTTATTACGGTTTATGATACACAAGGACCCAGAGTTCATGAAAACACAAAGAATAAAAATAATCTGCAACGTTGAGAAATATGCCAATTTTCTATCTTTTGGTGTCATGACTGTCAGCACTAATTGAAGCACGAGAATTTGATTCATGTATAACATGACCTGCTTTTTTAAAACTACTTAGTTAATTGACTCTCGTGAAAGGAAAAGCGTAAAGACTCAAAAGACAAGGTGTTTTACACTATCAAAAAGTGGTACATTTCCTTTTACCCCCAGTAAATATATATATATATATATGCAAACAAAATTGAACTTTCTATCTTCGGCATGAAATTTGAGACTAGATTTATTGTAATTCGAGGCCGCTGAAACCAAAAATAGCAACAGTTTTGATCTAACGCGTCAAGTTGTTTTTCTTTCTTTATACCGTAAGCACTTTTTTGCAGTATATAATTGAATCATCTATAACAGAAAACAAGTGCCAACTTTGTTTAGACCAAGAGAAAAATGTGAGACAAAGCTTTTAAAAAAATAAAATTCGTATAAATCATGTACATCTGTCACAATGGTTATATGGTAATGGGTACAACATTAAGATATTGTACATATTTTGATTAGAGGTAACATATTCATGACATAAACTTTCTTTTGTGTGATTGTCTGGCTTGCGTTGTGTCTGGACAGCCTCTTTGAATACTTCAACAGTAATCTGCCATTCATTTGGTGTCCCATTGGCCTTGATACCGTCCCTCCACTATCGAAAAGTCTGTATGAAATCTTTCAGCTTGTTCATCACTAATGTCACTGAAGTTATGATGAAAATCATCTTTTAGTTGATTCCACTGAGCAATGTATTCGGGTATTAAAAGTATTGAAGGTCAGTAATAAATTGAAAGTTATTGATGGCAAGACGGAAATAATCTCCCAGAACTACAAATTGATATCATTAACCATACCATTCGTTCAAAAAGAAGTCTTAAAAATCAAGGGATTCAGTTGGATTATGATATGCCTGTCTTCTCAAATTAGTCAGCTCAGCAAAAGTATCTATTTTTAGCTTAAGAAAATTGGTAATGTAAGAAATTATTTAACTAATGCAGCAGCCAAGACATTAGTAACAACACTGATTTTTATCCAAACTAGATGACTGTAATGCTATTTTATCCTGTTTGACGGCCGAAAAACAATTACTATAAAAGCTACAAGTACAGCAAAATTGGTAATAAAACAAACAAACAAAAACAGCGCACGTAACAGAAATTCTGAACTACACTGGCTGCCAGTAAAGGAAAGGATCAAATACAAAACTGTCGTTTTTCTATCTGGAAAGAATCAGGGCCATTAGGACTGAAAACCAACTCAATTTGCATCATGTTACATCAATAATTGAGAAAATTGGTGCTTCGAAAAAGCTTGACCATGTTGAGAAACTCAAAATTTTCAACTCCGATTTTCTCAAAACTAGGTTATGTGCAGATAGAACTTTGTAATTCTAAGGTAGCGATATATACTATAGCGATATATATATAGCGATTTAAAATATATA